CCCCCCCCCCCCCCCCCCCCCCCGCCCAGGCGGCCTGCTTCTGTTTGGCGACGTGCACATAAGGCCCCACTTTGTCCTGGGCTTAGGGGAACCTGAGTGACCTGGGGAGGCTGCTGATGCAAGGCTCCTTCAGCGTGTGGACAGACCACAAGAAGGGCCACACGAAGGTGAAGGACCTGGCCAGGTTCAAGCCCATGCAGCGGCACCTCTTCCTGCATGAGAAGGCCGTGCTCTTCTGCAAGAAGAGGGAGGAAAACGGGGAGGGCTACGAGAAGGCCCCTTCCTACAGCTACAAGCAGTCCCTGAACGTGAGTGAGCCTTAGTCCCCGCAGCCTCAGCCACGCTGCCCACTTCAGGCACGGGCCACTCTTATCTCTGGGTGTGGGAGTCTGGGACCCCGGGCGTCCTCAGCCCCCACCCCAAAACCGCTTCCATTGCTTCGGGGACCCACCAACACCTTTCAGGGATGGGGGGCCGGCTCTCATCCCACGCACTCATGAGCCCATCTCCCTGCTTGGCGCTGTCAGATGGCGGCAGTGGGCATAACCGAGAATGTGAAGGGCGACGTGAGAAAGTTCGAGATCTGGTACAACGCCCGGGAGGAGGTGTACATCATACAGGTAGGGCTGGTGTCACCGGGCCGGGTGCTGGGCACGTGTCAGAAAGGCCTGTGGCAAGAGCTGGTGTGTGTAGACTCTTCCGTGTGGCTTTATCACCCGGAAGCCATTTAGGGGCATTGCCCTGGGCTGTCGCTACCCTGAACTGAGCCCAGGAGGAAGTACAGGAAACCAAGGTTAGGGTGCTCCGAGGGCATGGCCGGGAGCACGGGCTTGCATGTGCCTGGACGGCACACCTGGGCCATGCTTATACATGTGACCAGGCTGCCTCACTGGTGAGGGCCAGAGGTGGGAGGCCATGAGTGCCCCCTGAGTCCGGTGAGCCCAGCGCCCTGTGAAGGGGCGCCCTTCACACCCAGGCATGCTGGCGGGACGTGGTGGCCACGGAGCGCCGTCACCACACACACCAGCACCGCCAGGCCCACGGCGATGACGTGGGTCTGCCCGGCACAGGCTCAGGCGCCAGCCCCAGAAGCTGCCAGAACAGTGGCCGGCCTGCTTCTCCAGAGTCCAGCTGCCCGCCTGTCACTCCCACAGGCCTCACACACTGCACCGAGGCCAGACGGCGGCCTGCTCCCCTCTCTCGCCCTGAGAGTTAGAGTCTACTTCAGGGTCTCGGACTCCTGTCAGACATGTCACCTAACACAACACCCTGGGCCACTTCCCAGAGGAAGGTGCTCTCAAAGGGTGGTCTGTGCCCCAGGGTTTCCACTGAGTCAGGCGCCAGCGAGGGCGCAAAGCTGGTGGCCAGGCGGTCACAGCCCGCCGCCTGTGTGGCCGACAGACCCTTCCTGTCACGCCCATGAGGCGGTCCTAAGGCAAAGGGACCATTTCTCCTTCCTCCTGGGCAGAGCTCTTGTTATCAGTCCCCACGGTCATCCTCAGAAGCTACCAGGGTAAAAGCAAAGCGGCATCTTCAGGGAACATGCGCCCTTACCTCCTGGCTTTCCCCCTGGGGCACAGGCACCGACGGCGGAGATTAAAGCAGCCTGGGTGAGTGAGATCCGCAAGGTGCTGACCAGCCAGCTGCAGGCTTGCAGAGGTAAGAGGTCTGGGCCACCAGCGACTCCGCTCTGCTCCGGGCGCATTCCCACACACGTCCAAAGCAACTCCCAGATTGTTGGCTGTTGTTGGAGGTGCGGTCGTGCAGCGCGGGGTCTGTGTGTCCCTTCCCGCAGAAGCCAGCCAGCACCGAGCACTGGAACAGTCCCAGAGCCTTCCTCTGCCCACGCCGCCCAGCACCAGGTGAGGGAGCCACCTCCGCTCAGGACCATGGGAGCCTGTCCCAGAGCCTGCCTCTGCATGCACCACTGGGTGCACACGGCCCCTTCCCTGAACCTCCTCACTGGGAAGTTGCTCCAAGCCCCCGGGACGGCTTGTCCTCTGGCATTACGTGCTCGGGGGTCCATCCCTGCGGGCCAGCTTCGGGGACGGTGTCTCCGGCCCCACCCCTGGATGCTGCTGGCACAGGTGACTGTTAGCTGCCAGGTTTCCATGACGGTCGTGCTTCAGACAGGGCCTATCGGGTGCCGAGGCGCAGAGCCACGCCCGCGGCTCACAGTTGATAGACACGCACGTTTCGGGTGCCAGCCCTGAGGCTGGCTTCACGGGATCTTTTCTGCCTTTAGCCTTACTTTGTTACTGTATTCATTTGCAGCTTTATTTTTCTGTTTCTTATATAAGCACATCTGGTCACTCGTGGGACAGGATGGGGGCTAAGTAAATAATGCATAGAACAATAGCCCCATCCCTGCAAGTCAAAAAATCAGCAACCATCTCCTACGTAACAGGAAGCAGGTGGATTTGTTCTCATTCAGTTCTGCCCGGTTAACCCGGAAGTGCGTGGAGGGCAGGATGGGGCCCCGGGGTCTCTGCCTCGGATCCTCAGGGAGGCTGGAAAACTAACCAGGCCACGTCCTCCTCCTTTTTTCATTAGTCCCTCGAAAGGGAACACAAGAAACATCAAAAAGCTGGAGGAAAGAAAAACCGACCCCCTAAGCCTGGAAGGATACGTGAGCTCCACGCCGTTGCCGAAGCCCCCCGAGAAGGGCAGAGGTGGGTGTCTGTGCAGCGCAGCCCCGTCACGGCTGTCCCCGAGTGAGCACGCGCATCCAGGACGCGCACACCTCTCAGAGGAGAGCCCGTGTGAGCTGGCGTGTGTCCCCGAGCACCCCCACTCCGTCCCTCTGTCTTCCTTCGGAGATGACACAGCCCCGAGCTCTACCTCAGAGAGCTCCGCACTTTCCAAAACGCGCTTTGCTCTGCCGGGCCTTGCTGCCCTCACAGGTCAGAAAGGTAAAAGGCACCTGCCTCAGACCCACGCCCCGGACGTGCCGCTCACCCCGGTGGCACGCTTCTCGTTCGTGAGGTGATCATTCGTGTGGACGGCCCGACAGGGGCGGCTGCCGCCATCGTCACCACATGCAGCCGTTCAGAAGCTTTGCCCACTGACCCGCTCTCTTCCCTGGCGCTGGTGTGTCTGTCCCACACACGGCCAGGGGCCTCTCACTGGGGGCCTTTTGTTTGCAAAGGAGGAGGCAGGCTTCCCTGGCAAAACTTGCTCGCAAACTGCACTCGTCTTTTGCTTTTTTGGTGCACCTCCTCCTGAACCCCCACCCCATCCTGCTCTGTCCTGCCCGGGACTGGCATTGGCGGGCCCTGGGGTGCTTGCTATCACACAGACCACATAAGGAATCCGCTGGGTGGGAACCTCGGAAAGCTTGTCTGCCTTGCAAGGCTCTGCGTGTGGGGGGAAGGACACAGATGAGCCCACAGAGCCTGGAGCTCCGGCCGGGTCGTTACAGGACCACCCGCCCGATGCTAAAAGCCAGTGTTTACGAGTTGAGGATTCTTTTCACTCATCCAGGAAATTGGAGGGTTTTTTGTTTGTTTGTTTCAACCTACAAAATACTTTTAAGTTGGCCTCAAACTTTTTATTTTTAAAATATTTTTTTCACGTTTATTTATTAAGAGAGAGAGAGGGAGACAGAGACAGAGTGCCAGTGGGGAGGGGCAGGGAGAGAGGGAGACACAGAGTCCAAAGCAGGCTCCAGGATCCGAGCTGTCAGCACAGAGCCCGACATGGGGCTCGAACTCACGAACTGTGAGATCATGACCTGAGCCGAAGTCGGACGCTTGGCCAACTGAGCCACCCAGGCGCCGCAATCAAACTTTTTTTAAACAAGGAGAGACGCGCTCTGGTGCCGTGTACTTTGCCAAGCATGGAAAGTGCATACACTACACACTTTTATGCAGAGTTGAGAACCCACGACCACCTGTAGCCTGCTGAAGTGAGGGTACGATTGCCACCGTCGGCCCGAGCTGGGTCTCCTCTCCCCCCGTTCCCGGGGCCGCTCCCGTCACCCGCGGGGCCCCGTGGCCAGCTTAGTCTTGTGCACAGGAAGCCACTTGGCAGCAGTGGGAACCGGCCTGCTGGCGGTGGCGTCCTGTCCTGCGTGAACACTGCTCCGCACACCCCCCACGCCCTGCTTGCAGCCCCTCACTCTCCTGTCTGTTTTTGCCTCTTCCTTCTTCCGCAGCTTCTCCTACCAGTCCTGGCAAAAAAGCTAAGCGACATGAAGTAAAGAGCGATCCAACGCCTTTTGGTTTACGAGGTAGAGTGGCTCAGCCTTGTGACGTAGCCTGCCGTCCGCGTCCCCATGCGGCTGGGGACGCTGTCTGCCTGGCCGGGGCTCGCCCCCCAGGATGCAGATCACGATAGGTCTCTACCAGCCAGACGCAAATTCCTTGTTTTCTTCAAAAGCATGACGCTCTGGCGACAGATTTGTGATGACATCGCCCTTCTCAGCTGGACTCCTGCTGGGTCTGCCCAGAACCGACCCCCTTAGGGGCTGCCGACACCTGGCCGGCATTCGGGTTGGGCTGTTTCTTGGTAGCTGTGCTGCCGTAGGCCTCCCTGTCCAGGGCGCCCACCCATCCCCTGCTTCTTGGTGGGAGAAGCTGACAGGATCTTGTCAACTTCCCATCTTGCGGGGAGATGACCAGGAGTACAGACAGAGGGGGCCAAGCTCCGTGTTGGAACTCAGGCCATTTCTTGCCCCCTCATATCACGAGGGTAAAGTGCAGCCCCCAAAACCTGAAGATCCCCTGGCCCAGGCTGAGGGTCTGAGGTTCTCAGGGAGGATTTCACTTTGTGAACCACCTTGAGTTTTCCAGCAACTGTGAAGGTTCCCAGGGGCACAGGCTGCGGCTCTCCAGCATCCCCGGGGCAAGAGCTCGGAGGCCAGGGGCCTTGGCCCACCCTCTCGGCCTTCATAGGGATGCGCAGTGCCCCGGGGCCTGGGACAGGGGTCATTTCTGCCCTGACAGCCTCATTTCCTACCTCACACCTGGAGACACCTGAGCACTGCCCTGGCTGAGTTCCCTTGGGCAGGAAGCTGGGGGGCTTCAGCCTCGCCCACGGCCACCCGCCCATGGTTCCGACCGCCTTTCAGCCAAGTTGTGTCTCTTCCCGTGACAGGAAGATGAGGCAGCCTCGTGAGGTCACAGTGGACGTGACCTGAGTGCAGCGCCTGGGGCCCAACTGCTAGCCCCCCTTCACACCCTACCCCTGCTCCCTATTGCCCATCCCACGCCCCCCCCCCACCCCGAAGCAGGTGACAGCACACACGGGTCTCCTGGGGAGGCAGGTGACAGCACACACGGGTCTCCTGGGCATTCTTGCACATACTTAGCAGCTTGCCCCCCAAAAAGAGTCATCTTCCCAATGTTTTACTCAATGCCACTGTCAGGAACTATTTTGCAGAGGAGGGAGGGGACCCCACTCACCGTTACCTGGGCCTGATGTCCTACACACTCACCCACACGTGCACAGATCAAGTGGGTTGGTGACACTTCGCTTCCCTCTTGGGCCTCAGTACTTTCCTGTCCACCCCCCCGTCACACAGTCTTGACCTGGGTGAGCCTGGTAGAAAGGCTTCCAGAGAGGCTGCTTGTCCCCACAGAGGCGAGCGAGCCCTTTGCATGCACCTGCTGTGACTCCCTCACATGCCTCAGCCTGTCGTCCTCGGGGAGGGCACGCCTCCTGCCACCCCACGTGTAATCTGGAACTGGTGTGCCCCGCCCGCAGCCAGCAAGCAGCCTTCTCTCCCAGACCCGCTTGCCTCTTGCTGCGCAGCCATGGGACACATGGCCTGATGCTCCAGACTGTCACCTAGTGCCAGCATCCCTGTGTTTGTTCAGAACCCGGAATCCGACATCTCCTGTCTCCCCACAACTTACTTGCATTCTCCCCCAAATTTCCCCCAAATGGGAAATGCAGGTGCTACTCTTTGGGCCTACAAGGCAGTGGAAACGCTGATGAAGGGATGTTGTGCATTTTATAAAGTCCCCAGAAAGATCTCTCCCCGCGTTTGCTGGGCCAGCCGAGCTCCGCAGCTGGAGCTCACACAGGCAGGCGGCCTGGCCTGGAATCCCAGCCTCCCCACGTGGCTACGGGGGCTCAGCGGCCCTGTTAGCTTCCGTGTGCGGCGTCTGCTGGCCTGCGTCACAGCGCCCCTACCTCGTGGGCTAAGGGCCAGGACGGGCCGGCACAGGGCACGCGCAGCGAGCCTCAGCCCTTGTGTGAGGGGTGGCCCCCCAGGCGGTCGGCCGGGTGTTCACCCTCCAAGCGCTAACTGCAAACTCCTTCCCTTTGGTGGCATTCGCTCCAACACAGCGGGATGGCAACGTCCCAGGCTAGTGGTTACTCAGGATCTCTGTGCTCCCCTGGGGCCACATGCAGGGGCAAAGCGGCAGGGCCTAAGGGACCACCTCCCTGAGGGGCTGGGGTTCTCTGTGTCCCCCCGGCTGGTGATGGAAGCAGGTGCCTGGGCCCCGGCCCCCTGGACTGTGCATGGCTGAAGCACCCGTGTCAGCAGCGTGCCCCAGTCTGCGCTGCGTCCCGCCGGAAGGTCTTGGCTGGCTCCTGGGAAGGGGACACGTGCGGGTGGTGGGAACTGCACAGACCCCCTTCACACAGTGAGGGTGGTCCTCACTGCGGCCCGCTCTCTCTCAGGTTGGAGCAAAACGTCTCACCCCTCAGAGGCCCCTGAGGACGACGGCTGGTCGAGTGCTGAGGAGCTGATCAATTCCTCGGATGCGGAGGAGGAGGGCAGAGTGGGCCCCAGGAAGCTGGTAACCTTGGGTCCCACTGGGCGTTCAGCCTGGCCCTGCTGGCCCCTGGGCGGGAGAGCTTCAGAGCACGACCTTACCAGTGCCCCGCACTCGTGGCTGCTGCGGGCACATGTTAGGTGCCAGGGCCCCCTGGGGTTGTGCGCCTGCCCGCCTCCGTCGTCAGACCAGCCTGTTTCAGAGGGAACGGTGCACACACGACTTGCCCTCCAAATAAGTAGACTGTTCTGAGGAGCCGCTGTAAAGCGATGCCTTCAGCTCTTACTTTCTAGAGAACTGAACTGCTTTAAGTATGGATTTGCATTCTTTTTTTTTTTAACTTTTTTCAATGTTTATTTTTGAGAGAGAGAGAGCTAGAATAAGCGGGGGAGGGTCAGAGAGAGAGAGAGACACGGAATCCGAAGCAGGCTCCAGGCTCTGAGCTCTCAGCACAAAGCCCTACGCAGGGCTCGAACCCACAAACCATTAGACCATGACCTGAGCTGAAGTCAGACGCTCAACCCACTGAGCCACCCCAGATTTGCATTTGAAACAAGGTCCTTTAACACAGCGGCAAGGAGAAGCTATTCACATATTAAATCATTAGAGTCGGGTGACACTAACAGATGCTCGGGGCACTCCATGCTGCCCTGGTCCTGGCTTCAGAGCTTTGTCCATGTGTACGTGTCAAACATGGAGCACGGACTGGGTACCAGGCACTTGGAGGTACAAAAGACAAAGCAGAGAACAAAATAGACAAGACTCTCCACTCTCACAGGGAAGCAAAATAAAAGGTAGTGAATACGGAGCATACTAGGCGAGGATGACTGCCGTTTCAGATGGGAGGCCCGGGGACAGGAGGGCGCTCCGGGAAGAAGGAGCAGCATGTGCAAAGGCCCTGGGGCAGAGGGCTATGTTTGTAGTGTTTGAGGCCGGCTGCAGCAGAGGGGGCTGCAGCCCTTGGCAGCTGGCGGCCCTTGGCAGCCAGAGTGGGCCAAAGGCACTTTGCACGTTAGTTAAGATTTTTAACATGGTCACGGTGAGAGACCTCTGGCATCCGCTTACGATTAGGAGCTCTTCCCAACTTAAGGTGACAGTCACATGAGAAGCCTGACAAACAGCAGGGCCCTGATGAAATACTCATTGTCTGTCGCCTGTTGGATGCTGGAAGCCCATCTGGGACCTTGCCTGCTCCTGCTGCGGCCTCACTCTGCGCTTGGGGTGGGTGGGGGGAGGTGTGTGGATAGGGCGGACTGTGCTGTTTGATGCACTGTGTCCTGTGCCACCAGGTTCCAGGGAAGTACACGGTTGTGCTGGGCGATGAGAAGGAAAGCCCTGAAGCGCTTGCCGTGAGAAGCGGCGATGTGGTGGAGGTGGTCCAGGAGGGTGACGAGGGCCTTTGGTAAGACGTCGCCGGTGGTGGGCTCAGGCCCAAGACCCTGGGGCAGGCCCGCGGCTGGAGCCCCTGACCCGCCCCCGCCCCTTCCAGGTATGTCAGGAACCTGACCTCCAGCAAGGAGAGCTGGGTGCCGGCCAGCAGCCTCTCCACGCTCCTCGGCACGTCGGGCTCGGCTCAGTGCCTGAGCAGCTCAGGTAAGACCCCCGTGCCGTGCTGGCTGCGACTGGAGCCCGCGGGGTCCGCGGCCTCGAGCTCGGGCGTGCAGACGCGAAGCCGCAGCCGTTCTCGCCTGGTTTTCCCGCAGAGTCCAGTGCAGGCTCCGCCCTGCTGAGCGCCTCGTCCAGCTGCAGCGAGAGCTGCGGGGCCCCCCTCTCAGACCTGCAGGGGTAGCACCGGGCCGCGCAGGATGGCAGCCTGCGGACCTCTAAGTGTTCCTTTGCTTGGGCTTGCTTAGTTTGGTGAGGGACGGTGCTCTAAGACCCTGGGAAAGGAGGACCCTGGCAAGACCCGGAAGAGGAGCCACCCGCTGCCCACGAGACTTGGCGGTGCAGACACAGGGGCACGCAGAGGAAAGGTTCTGGAAGATTCTGTCCTCCGGCCTTCACGCCAGGACCCCCCTGACGGAGGCGCAGAAGTCGGCTCCACGGGAAGATGGCAGCACACCGAGCTTCCCCGCAGAACCAGGATGGACGGAGGGCTGTGGGGCAGCGGAGCAAACATGTGGCAGGTGCCACGGGGCCGTCATCCGCCTCCACCGGGCCGCGGTGGGGAGCCCGTCCCGGCCACTCGGCTTCGGTTCCTGCCGCATCTGGGCTGGTGCTTCATGCAGGGATCAGCACGTTGTGGGAGGGACCGCTTCCCAAAGAAGTGGCCAACCTACTGACCCAACAGCTTGGTGGAGGACTTTTTGATTTTTACAAGAAAGCAGGGATTAATTCCATGGCCATTTTTTGTGGTACTTTGGCCGCTAATCTTTACCAAGAATCACTGTGTTTACATGAAATGACAATTTAATACTGTATTTGATACAAAACTATTTTCTGTTACTGGGGTTTACACTGCAGCGCGTTGTTTATACTGCTGGAGATTTGAGGGCTCTCTCTTGGGGACCAAAGCCCTCTCCAAGGCCGGCCTGGTCACCGGCGGTTGAAAACGCATCCCTCGATAAAATCCAGCAATGTTTCTACAAACAGGAGTAGTAGAAACCAAGGAGAGTCCTTTATCTGTGTAGGTTAATTTTCAAAAGAAAATTTAAACTATAATTTAAAATATTTAGTTTCTTTTCTACAAAAATGGGGAACTTGATTTTTTTAACTAGCTTCACTGAATTAGGATTTTTTATCGTTTTTAAAGAATACATAAAGATGCAGTTTCCGCGGGGTACCACCTGAACCAGTGCCCACACAGGGCTCAGTGAAAGCTCCAGCCCTGGCACCTGTGCCGGCCTCCGCTGCTGCCTCCCAGGCTCGGGCAAGTCCCCCTGAACTCAGAAACGTAAAGGTTGCAGAGCTCATCACTGAAATCGAGGCAGAACTGGAAAGAAAACCCTTCTGGTTTACCTTTTTGTGTTTCTCAAACAAACTCTGTTCTCCGGAAACACTTTGTGTATCTGGTGGGGGCGGATCTCTTTCTACGTGTGCTTACGTGGATGTGTGTGCATTGGTGTCCCGTGTTAGGGACGCACGCGGCCTCCGCGATGCTGGAAACCGTCACTTTACTGCCCTCCCTGAGTCCCGCGCCCACCGCAGCCTGCTCCCGGCCACACGCGAGCCCCCACCCTGGCTGCCCCTGCGGTGCGTTAGAGAAAACAGCCGTGCAAGACTCAGCAGCTTTCCTCAGTGCCCCCCGATTTACTCAGTGCGCTGACTGTGCAGAGACCGCCCCAGCCGCCTCGCCCAACACCCCCCCACCATTGTAATCTCTTCCTCATAAAGGCACTTTAAAACCTCGTGTTTCAGTCATTGCTTTTTGTTTGGTTTGGGGTCTTTTTTTTTATTGCTGATGTAAATGAAATTTAAAAAATCAGAGTTCTTTATTGTATGGATGGAGTTTGAATAAATATCAGCCCCTCTTGCTGTCTGCCTTCATCTGTAAAAAGCCCAGAATTCTGCTTATCGCGCTCAGCTACACGCAGCACTGCAAGCGCCGTTACAGGGGAGGCAGGTGGCGAGCAGGACCCAGAATGTGTCCCCTATGCTTCCCTTTGTCAGAAAATGATGGAAATAAAGTAAGCGTATTGTGTCAACACTGTGAAGGTAACAAAAGAAATGCAGACTCCCAGTGCTGGGACATTGGGGTCCGGTGGCGGAAGGGATGTGGTGGGGAGGGAAGTGTGACGGGCGGAAGCAGGAATCCGGAAGAGCAGCCGGGAGCCACTCTCTCCCACGACGCTGGAATCGTGCTAGGCTGACCTACCAGGAGGGGATCAAATCGGATGCATCACATAATTCCTGAAAGACACCATCAAACAAGATCACACAAGGGCTGGAAGGAAAGACAAGAACAGAGACTAACAAACCCTGACCTCCCGGGAGCCCCTCCCACAGACCTGTGCCCCAGAGGCAGGTACACTGTTGGGGTTGGCCACTGGAGCGCCTGTCCCCCAGTCCAAGCGGAAGGCGTGGCCATGAGCGGAGGGTCGGGGAGGGGGCCGCTGTTCACCCGGAGCTACGCAGGCTGGCCCTCTGCACTCAGCCACCCTGTCCTCCTCCCCTCGCCCCTCCTGGCCCGGGGTCTGGGGTAGGACTGCTCAGTACCGTGCTTGGTGGTCTTTCATGAAGAAAAAGCCACTTGGAAGCGTCAGTGGGGAAGCGGTGCCTCAGCCATGACCCCACTGGCCTGTGCTGTCCCCCACCTCCCCAGAGGACCCTGGGACTCGAAGGCTTCAGTCCAGCACATGTCCCAAATCCAGGCTGCCTGGCAGCTCACCCATGGGAATCCCATTTCCCCGCAGCTTTGGGCAGTCGGAGGAGGAGCGTCCCTTCCCCACGCCTCCTGGCCAGTCGCCCACTGAGTCCACGGCCAGACACTCCTCGCGCTGCTCTGAGAACAGCCCAGCCGCGGCCCCGCTCAAGGGGAAGCATAGGCACCTGCTGACGGTGTCCCCAGGATGCAGTCTTGCTCAGAAGCAGGACCCTTGCCGGTAGAATTGGTTATGATGAGTCACACTGGAGTGGGGGCCCTGACCCACGGGTAGTGTCTCTGTAAGGAGAGTTAGATCGGGACACACACCCAGGCCGACTGCAGGTGGGGCACAGAGGCCCCCAGAACTCCCCAGCGGGAAGGGGCAGGCAGGCCCTCCCCCCGGAGCCTCCAGAGACAGCAGGGCCCTGCACAGACACTGTGCCCAAGGGCCTGTGGCCTCCAGAGCCGGCACAGGATAGATTTCCGGTAAGGTAAGCCCCACGCGTGCAGCCCTGTCATGGGGCCACCAGGAGTCAGGAAAGTGCTGAGCTCAAGGGCGGCTCCCCTGCAGCCTTTGAGAGCAGGGCTCACAGGTGCTGCGTGTGGACCGACACGGGACCAACAGCACCTCCACCTGCTCGGGCAAGACGTTCGCCAGATTTAGGGGCAGAAGCTCAAGGCTGAAACGCTTCTTCCCAAGCTGGGAGGAAACGGAGCCAGGACTGCCAGGCCATCCAGAGAATCCCCAGAAGGTGCGGCGGAAAGTGGGGGTGTCCCCCCCCACCAACAACAGACTCCCAAGCAGCCAGCAATCATAACCATTAGTAACACCTGAGGTGATCAACAAACCATGTTCTCTGCAGAGACTGACTCTCCCACTTGGGGAGTGGAGCTGGGACCCCACCTGCAACAGCTGGGCCGTGTGGCTCCCACGCACAGGAGAGGAGCAGAGCGGGCGTCCCCAGTCTCCACCATTTGCAGAAAGGATATTTCAGAGGGTCGAGGCCAGACCCCACTGGAGCCTGGACGCCCACGTGAACCTTGTTGGGGTGACTGACGATGTCCGAGGGCCCAGGATGGTCCAGGTCAGCACAGAAGCCGGGCAACCAAGACAGTTGGTCACCGCAGCTTGCGGCCTGGGCCCAAGAGGGCCCGGAGGGACACAGAGCAGGGGGTTCAGCTTGGGGCAGGTGCCCCAGGGCAATGAGGCCCTGTGTGGGTCTCCACCCACACCGAAGATCCACTCTCCTGTACCCAGAGTTACTCTGCAGGCACACCTACCACCAGCTTGGATCTGTTTCCCAACTGCGGCCCTAAGTCCCCAGGGCTTCAGATTCTCAACCGCATTTGAGGCGCACGCGCCAGGTACACATCCCGACACAGACGCTTCCGAGAGGGAACCCCTACTTCGCGGTCACAGCTGTGCGGTGAGTACAGACAGTGTCTTCCTGTCCCCAGCGTCCCCCGCACGCCCCGCCCCTGGGTTTGGGAGGC